AATGCCTTCGGTTGTTGCGAACTCCGAGAAGCATAAACAAAAAGTTACATCTTCGTTTAACAGGTTTTGTCTGAAAATGGCTTTCTTTAGATTGCTTTGTGGAAGAGGTGAACACGAGACAACGATGCTCTGCTTCAACGGAAGAACAAGTAGGGTATATTTTTCTTAGTTTTTTTGGTAAAGATGAATATATAAATAAAATAATGTTTACAGTCTCAATAGACCAAGCAGATGTGGGTTATAGCCCCCATTTTACAGCCAAAAGATTGGATTCCATAATTCGGATTTGCAAAACTTACAAAACCGCATAAAACCTTGTTTTCTTGCTTTCTTGCATCACGTCTCGTCTCGCCGTTGGTCGAAGAGATAGTACCAGCTCTGCAATATAGGATTGCACTCTTAGGATCCCTCACTTTGTAGAGAAAATAGATAACATCTCATTGTATCATTCACACGGGCAATGAGGGAAGCTGTGGATGTGACATCTTGTTTAAAGATCCGTGAATTACGCTCTCGCCAAATATAATATGCAATGACTTGTAGGAGCAGTTTCGCTATGGTGATGCAGTGTTGTGACGTTTCCTCCTTGTTCTCGTTTAGCCATCGTCCGAAATCGGTGTAATCAGATGGTGGTAAAGTCCAGATTCGTCGGGCAAAGGTTCTCCATACTTCCGAAGAGATGTTGCACCTGAAGAATAATTGTTGATGTGATTCTGACTCCAGCCGGCACATGGGACATGAGGGCTCTGTGTTTATGCCCCACCTTGATAGCCGATCACGTGTGGGTAGACGGTTCAGAAATACCTGCCAAAGTAGGAAAGCATATCGAGGAAAGCTTTGCTTAAACCATACCAGGTTGTACCAGTGGACCTTAGGAGATCGTAATCTGAGTAGCTTCCAAGTTGATTTCGTTGAGAAAGACTTGGTGAACTTGGAGTCCGCACATTTCCAGAGATAGCAATCTGCTCCATGGGACTGCTTTGGCGCTTCTTTTCCGGCTAAGGCAATGTGAAGTTCTTGGATACGTGGACTTCTTGCTGGAGGAAGTTTCCAGCCATCTCCCTCAACAGCATCTGAAACTGTTGCAGATTTGTGTAAACGAGCTAGTTTCGGTCCATCAAGGCCAATATAGTCCAATAGTACTCCCAGATCTGTCCATACATCATACCAAAATCTGCAAATTTTTCCATCACCAACCTTGCAACGTATGAATTCCTTGGCCGTGTCTTTGATAGCCAACAATTTTCTCAAATTCCAAGTTTGGGAGCTGTTAGGCTTTAGTTCCCAATAAGATTTCCCCTTAAGAATATTGTGTTGTAGCCAAGCAATCCAAAGGGAACCCGAGTTGGTGAATATCATCCAAACAAGTTTCAGACGGAAGACCTTAGACTGTTCCTCGAGTGATCTTATGCCCAACCCTCCCTCTTGTCTAGGCTTGCAAATAGCCTCCCAAGCTACTCGATTTTGGCCTGTGATTGTCGATGAAGAAGATTTCCATAGAAATGATGAGCACTTTCGGTCAATTTCCTTGAGCAAGTATTTTGGAAGGACAAACACTTGACTCCAAGAAATGACTGATCCGTAAATAGCGGAGGTGATTAGCTGAACCTTACCAGCAAAGGAGAGGAACTTGTTTGTCCAATGTGTTATCTTCTTATCAATTCTCTCCAACAACGGCATATAGTCTAACCTTGACAGCTTCCATGGACTTAGAGGGAGGCCTAGGTAGCGTACTGGTAGTGATCCAAGTCTGATTCCCATGGAATTACTTAGATCTTCAGCTTCCAACTCGGACATTCCTCCCAAATACAACTCTGTTTTTTCCAAGTTCATTGCCAACCCAGAAAAGGTCCTGAATTTCTGCAGTATGAGGAGAATTTCTTCGACCGATTGCTTGCTTCCTTCACTGAAAATGATCAGGTCATCCGCGAATACCAAATGGGTAATTAGAGGGTTCAAACACTTTGGGTGTGTAATGAAATGTTGCTCCCTTGCTGCTTTGTTGAGCATTTGGGTAAGAACCTCCATTCCAATGATGATATATACATGCATATCTATATGTTAGGGACAGAGCAATGTTATACAGGGTCCCGTATAATATAGAAAATTTAATTACTCTATTATTAAAAATATTGGCATGTCAAAGTAGATTAAATATATTAAATATTCATTTAAATATTTTTTAGTTTTATTTTAAGTAATCATATATAACAAATTTTAATTAGTAAAAAAATAAATTAGAAATGTTAATATATAACAAATGATCAATAATTAAATAAAATAATCGAATTGTTTGCTCTTCTTTCAAAACATAGAAGTATCTTTTATGTCCAAGATATCAAAGTAGTTTAAAAATATTAAATATTAATTTAAATAATATGATTTTTAGTTTTATTTTTAAGTAATCATATATAATAAATTTAATTAGTAAAAAATTATAACTTTTAAATTTAATAAATAATAAATGATCAATAATTAAATAAATAGAGATGTTGAAAAATTAAAAAAATTGTTTTTATGTAATCATAATATATAATATTATCTAAAATAAATATATTAAAAATTATATTTTTATATTTGTACTAAAAATAAATTAATGGATAAAACAAAATAATTTTTTTTATTAAATATAACCTTTACATAATATTGTTATTAAAAACTAATTTTTGATTTTTTAAATACAATAATTAAGAATCTATGTATATAAAGTTTAGTTTCAAGTAATGTGGGAAAGATACGTCAACGTCCACATCACCATCTATTTGAAAATTTATTTAATTTTTATTGGTCATTTAAAGTTATTATTTTAAATACTCTAGATATTGGTACCACTAATTTTTGTTTTGCATATGAAAAAAAATATATTGTTTTTAAATATTATAATGATAATATTTTGAAAAAATTATGTTAACATAAAAATTTTAGTTTCAAGGAATGTGAGAATACACGGCAACGTCTACATCATCATCTATGTGAAAATTTATTTAATTTTTATTGGTCTTTTAAAATCTTTATTTATAATATTTATTATATAGATATTATTACCACTAATTTGTCCAAATTGTCGAAATTGCGCATGAGACCGAGAGTATACTTTATTTTTGTTGAATTTGTATCAAATTTTTCTAAATGATATTCGTCACCTATATAACATAAAACAAACAAACCAAAATATTACTAATCTAAATATGAAAGAATGAGAATAACATGATAAATCTCGTTAACTCTCGTTATGCCTGAAATATAACATGATAATTATAAACAAGATAATACGAGAAGACTCGTGTGATCGAATAAATAGATATGGAGACAACGTTCCATTCGTAACCCTCGTTATGCCTGAAAAAATCTCGTTAACTCTCATTTTTATAATTTAAATATGACAATATAAGAATAACAAAATAATACGAGAAGATTCGTGCGATCAAATAAATAGATATGGAGAATTTGCTTCACCCATTTTTTAAACTTTATTTATACTATAAAGCTGTGTACTAATTTGATTTCATAAAAGAGATCATTATATAGACATTAAAAAAACCATGTATTAGCACCACTATTCATGCATGAACAACCACATCAAGTTTTTGTCATTCTTTCAATAGGTATACAGTTTATTAAAAC